TTTTTTTTAGTTTTGTTCCACATCATTCTCCCACTCTAGCCAGCACTGATCTCCTGCACTGATCCCTTTCCAAGTGGTTGACAGTAGCATCTGGGCACCATCTAGTTCTTCTGGCCTCATGGTCATATAGGCTGAGGGCTGCATGGTCTACTAGTTCTTCGGACTAATTGTTACCATGCATCTTTGTTTTTTTTCATTCTGCTTTGCTCTTGCCAAGGAGAGACCCATTGTTGCACCTAGATAGCCATTTGCAAGCTTTTGACCTCATTTGCCACAATTTTTTTAAAAAATAAAAAAATAAGTTCATAAGAAGCTTAAAGGAATTTCCAAACTAACAGGAATGATGAGAATTTAAAAATTTTTAAACCACTCTAGGAGCCCTGGTGGTGCAAGGGTTAAGCCCGCAGAGGCTAACAGAAAGGTCAGTGGTTCAAACTTACCCAGAGGCTCCATAAGACAAAGACCTGGCAGTCTGCTTCTGTAAAGATTATGGGGCAGTTCTACTGTCATACAAGGTTGCTTGAGCTGGAATCAACTTGACGGCATACAACAACAACAAACCATTATAAAATGTTTTCAACTCAGTTTCACTGAACATTTCCCATATGCCCCAAACCCTAAACAGCCCCCACTATGCACTGTCATTTGGACAACTTCCTTACTTTATCCTCTAACTTTCATTTCTTGTTCTCAATTAATTTTCCTGTGATATTTGTCTTTCATTACCAAACTCACCAGGCCTGTATTCCTCCCGGGCAGAGTTAATTTGAATTTCTGTCTCAGCAGAAATCTCCAGCTTCTGTGTCACCTCCTCAGCTGTCTTTTTCGTGTTACTCAGCACAGTAATAAGACTCTCGTCTTCCACCAGAGACCCCTGAGTGCTTGTCAGATGGTAAAGCAAATTATCTTCTAGTTCCTTCATCTTTCTTTTGTTTGCAGTAATGTCTTCCATAAGATGAGTTCTTTCTTTCTCCAATTCCTGTTTGTTTGCATAAATACATGTTCTTCCTTAATGAACAACTTTTGTCTGGGCATTCCTTAAAAAGTTAACCTACATGACTCTCTCAAGCTCCTATATTGTATAATCTTTGACAACAAAAGAAGATGGGCATCAAAAAAGGAGGAGAATGTATGGAAAAAGCAGCAGTGGCAAAATGAAATGTGCTAAAAATATTACCAATATCCCTATTATATTTAAGCTTATTTGGAAAGTGAAACATTTGTAGAAAAAATTTCCTTCTGTTTAGTTTCTAGTTTGAAAGATCTGTGCTGTTGTTTTGAAAGTTAAGGGGCTCTGGTGGCAAGTACCTAAGCTATTTGCCTGCTAACCAGAAGGTTGGCCATTCAAACCCACCAGCTACTCTGCAGAAGGCCACCAGCCACTCTGCAGAAGGAAGATGTGACAATCTACTTCCGCAAAGATTTACCACCTTGGAAACCCAATGGGGCTCACTAACAGTCAGAATTGGCTAGATGGTAGTGAGTTTGGTTTTTTCGGTTTAATTGAAATAGTGTCCAATGGTGTGAAATGCAACTTTCCAAAAAGCTAGGTAAGCAACATAAGCTGCAAGAATACCAATTGCTGTCCAGTCAATTCTGGCTCATAGTGACCCTGTGTGTTGCAGAATAGAGCTGAGTTCCATAGCTTTTCCCAAGCTGCAACTTTGTGGAACCATATTGCCAGGCATTTCCTCTGAGGCACTTCTGGATGGGTTCAAATCAACAACCTTTCAGTTAATAGTCAAGTGCTTAACCATTTGCACCACTCAGGAACTCTGATGCCATGATATGGCAATGCTAAACTTTCTCGAGGAGCCACTAGGTACAACTGGTTAATGTAATCAGCTACTAAATAAAACGTTAGAGGGTCAAGTCCACCCAGAGGCACCTTGGAAGAAAGACTTGTCAATCTAGTTTTGAAACATCACCCACTGAAAACTCTAGGGAGCACAATTCTCATCTGTCACATGTGGGGTCACCATGGGTTGGAGTTGCCTGGACAGCAACTGGTAAACTTCCTCAAACATCTTTATGGAGATGTCACTCAGGACTCCAAAGATAAACAAGCAAACATTTTCAAGGCCATTTGTTTCTCCTTTGCTTGTTTGTGGTAAGAATACTGGCTTTGGTTTCTGCCACACTAGGTCACTAAACCATGTAAATTTATGAAGTTGGAGTAAATGCTCTTAATCTAACTTCCAACAGCATTATGACCCTATGAGTCATGGGCTATGAATTAAAAGTAATGAGAGAAGAGTAATTTTAAAAGGAAAGAGAGAAAGAGGAAGGAAGGGCAGGTGAGACAGACAGATGGAAGGGCTCAGAGGAGCATGTACAATACAATCTACAGAAAGTAAAAATAACAGGAAGACAGATTCCAAAGATCTTGGCAATAGTTTTAACCTAATAAATCTTCAGGTCAGTGTATATGGGGCCATAAAGTAATCTAAACTCCTCACTGCTATTGAACCCAAGAGAGAATGAACAGCAGCTCTTAGCATCCATGCCGTTTCACCAAAGTACTCATTAAAAGCATCAAGATTTCCTTACTTAAGACTCACAGGCTCCCTAGGGAAAATGCTGACTCAGAAGAAAGTTTATAAATTCCTGGCCATTTGTCAATGAGCATTAAGTTATCCCATAAAACAGAGGTAGAAAAACAGATATAGGGCTAAGCTTCTAAAGCAGCATAATTTACGTAATTTACATAACTTAACATAATTAAGCCAGGAACTTCCAGAAAGTGAACAGTGAAACTCTTAAGTCTAGTGTCATGAACCTCTGTCTTCTTACCTCAGATTCCTTCATGGCACATACAGAGCTCCCTTAGATCACAAATCAGAATCAATCACGGTCTTTGCTATCTGAGACCAAAGTTTTAATTTTATATTCCAAAAGCTTTAATCAAAGGAAAGGAAAACCAAGACATGGAACAGAAAGCTAGAGCCAACAGGTGAAAAGAATTCACAACAGGATACACTCTTCAGAAGAACAAAGCATGGTGCTGGAGATGACACTGGTATTCTCTCAGTGACATCAGTCTATGCAAAAGCAAATGATGAGCTATGTCACTGATGAGACAAACAGAACACATACATAGGCAGATAAATGGTTAATAATTTATGTATAGAGAAACATATTTGGAAAGTTTTAATAGAAGAAATGTATAAGGAATTAAAGGGTGGAAACTCTATCCCATTACAAATTTTATTACATACTTTTATTTCCCTCAATTAAAATGAAGTAGGGGGATTAGGTCTATGTTTTTGTGTGATAATCTCACAATAAGATTGATGTAATTGATCTCAATGAATTGTACACTTGAAAAATGTTGAATTAGCAAATGCGTTATCTATCTTCTTCCAGAAAAAAACCTCAACCCAGTGCAGCCAAGGAGCTGGCCTGGACTTTACTCACCTGCTTCTCTGTGAGAATGACCCTCCCCAGTAACTGATCTTCTAGGCCTTTCACAGTGACAGTGAAGTCAATGATGGAAGTACGAGCACTGATCTCAGGAGTGTAGGCTGGATTGGGAAGCTTGGTGGTGATGTAGAGTCTGAAGCCATCCATAACATCAACTTCCTTGTCACCAACTTTCACCTTTTTATGAAAAGGAATAAAACAGAGATAAATCTTCATGTGTCATTTATACATACATACATACATATACATATACATATACTATATATATATTTATATATTATATATGTGTATATATATATAATATATATATATATATATATATCTTCAAACAATTGTTTAAACTATTAGTTCCTTCAATTGTTTTCTAAGAAATAAAAGATCAATAATTATTTACAGGGCTTCAACCTGATAGGGTAGAGGGGAAAAGAAACGGGGAATAAAAAGGAAGCAAGGAAGGGAGACAAAGAGGAGGGAGGGAGGGAGGCAGGAGAAAGGGCCATTCTTATATCACATTGTTATCAACTGGCTTACCCCACCTTAAACGTAGACCCAGTTTTAATGAAGTTTCTTTCTAAAACATTGTCCAGGGCTGGATCTAGTTCCTCCCCAACATCTTCAATAAGCAAGGGCCTTCCAAGAGAAAGACTGTCCTCCAGGTGGTTTCTGAAGTACTTGTGATTTAGAGATGTGATCTAGAAACAAGGTCACAAAGTTGCTCTCAATAGGTCATAGAATCCTGATGCAACACATTGGGATAACTCCTACCAAACACATTGCTTTTAGGGGATCATTGGCTTGGGAGCCCATTCTTGGTGAAATGGTACAGAAAGCTTACACTTTTTCCATCCTTTCCTTTAGCAGACACTAATTCCCCTTTAGAAGCTCTGGTACCATAGTCCCTAAGGCACTTGACTGCTAACCAGAAGGCTAGAGGTTCAAACCCACCATCCACTCCTCGGAAGGAAGGCTGAGCAATCTTCTTCCGTGTGATACTGCCTTGGAAACCCAAGGAGGGGTCACTATGAGTCAGGTCCAACTTGACAGCACATAACAACAACAATTCCCCTTTACTGGAAGCATGTATAGGCCTCATGTGGTAACACAATTATTTCCTCATTGCTACAATCTTTGTGATAAATAATGTGAAGTGCTGCACATTGTTGTTACTGTTGTTGTTTTTTGCTGGGGAGTCGATTCTGATCCATAGTGACCCTATATGTCAGAATAGAATCCCTCCATAGGGTTTTCTAGGCTGTAATCTTTACAGAAGCAGATCGCCTGGTCTTCCTTCCCACAGAGCCACTGGGTGAGTTTGAAACATCAACCTTGTAGGTAGCAGCCAAGTGCTTCACTGTTGCACCACCAGGGCCACACACTTAGTGTGATACAGACATGCGCTACACTGGTTCTCAAAGACAGCCTTTATTCAAATAGAGTCTGCAATCATTGAAAGTCAGCATTAGTAGAACCAAAAAAAAAAAAAAAACTTACTGCCCTTGAGTCAGATCTGACTCATAGCAACACTTCCTTGGGTTTCTGAGGCGGAATCACTACAGAAGTAGATTGCCCAACCTTCCTTCTGAGGAGTGGATAGTGGGTTTGAACTTCCAGCCTTCTGGTTAGCAGTCAAATACCTTAGGCACTATGCCACCAACCAGCACAAATACAAACAGTGCAATTTTTAGAAAAGATTTTAGTATCAGATTTTAGGATTCTTACTGCTCTCAAAGAACAAAACCAAACTCACTGCCATTGAGTGGATTCTGACACTGCCCAGTCTTCCTTCTGCAGAGTGGCTGGTGGATTTGAACTTCCAACCTTCTGGTTAGCAGTCAAATGCATTAGGCACTATGCCACGAGAACTCCTTCTTACTGCTCTACTTAGGAATAAAAACCATCTCTGATATTCCTTATTTTGTGATTCCTGTTGATACAGGTCAATAAAAGTTGACCAGTAACACAGATATATTTCAATACAAATTACCTGGAGTTCATTTAGGCTTTCTTTATTTTTAATCCAGATCTTGCCTTGAGTCTGTGGGTCAATTAACAACGGGTAGCGAGAAGCCTTTGTGACAATAATCCCATTCTGGATGGACAGGTCATCATTTGGCAGACCTTGGAGGTTCCACTCACTAATAGTAGGAGCATCAATCAATATCTCATTGAGATTTAGATCGTTGCCAAATGGAATTTTCCGGGCTTTCATCTCCTTCTGCCAGTCGTTTAACAACAGATTGCGAAACTCTTGGTTAAATGGACCAGAATAGGAGAGAAAAGCTGTAGCCAACAACACATCCCCTAAAACGGAAAACAAAATATCACTGAAACACTTTATGATCATCCTTGTAGTTGTGAAAAATATTCAAAATAGATGGGAAAAAATACAACCGTTCTTTTAAACTAAACTCCACAAATCAAACTGTAACCCCAAGTTGCTGAACCTTAGTGAAGAAGTAAAACCACTACTTCTTCACTGGTTTGGTTCATTGTTAACCAGGATCCAAATGCTCTACCAAGTAATAGCTGGTAGTAGTCAAAGCATCGGGTTATTTAACTTTTGTTAGAAATGGGGGGATGGCCTTATAGTTTAAGAGATGACAAAATTCAGAAGGCAGAGGCTACATTCAAAGTGGTCTTGATCAATATATGGCCATGCACTCACAAGAGAATACAAAAATGACCTGATAATTAGGAGCTTAAAAGGTCTTAATACATCTCAGGAGGATTAACATAAATGACAGAACAACATCCATCCCTCTCAAATGGTTGGACAGACACACACAAGAATTTGAAACAAAGGAGGGGTGGATTGTACTCTGATTAGAGTTCAAGTTTGCTAACTTAAAGACATAATCTCAGTCAACACATAATCTCATTAAGAAAGGAATTTACATACCTACGAGTCTTTTAGTTTGTGCAGCAAACTCTTTACTTTGCTCTGTCCATCTTTCCTTTTCACCTGCCAAGCCACTGATCAATGTTGATGCTGTCTGCATCTTATGTCTACACCGCTCCGCATCTTCAAGTAAGGTCTAGAAAAGACCATCATCAGAAGAAAACTATTGAAATAAATAGAGCTTCTGACTCAAAAATATAATTTTAAAATATTTAATGGAAACATAAGCCATTTATTTCACAGGAAGATTCAACTGCAGTGGGACTCATGTTATCCCAATGTGTACCCAATTCTATCTCTTAAGCCCTCTCCAAGGACTTTGGAAGGATTCTGCCAGATGGTGCCTTGAACCAGTAGGTGAGACCATTCCCAGGTTTTAATAATTGAGGGATAATGGAAATTTGTATCATTTATGATTTCCCTGGAAATAAAAATAAAACAAAACAGAAGCATACCTGCTAACAGCAAATAACACAGAAAATGCAAAGAAATACTTATTGCTGGTTAAAAGTAAGGCATCTCTGGGTAGTGCAAACTATTAATGCACTTGCTGATAACCAAAAGGTTAGCATCTACTACAAGGCACCATAGAAGCAAGGCCTGCTGATCTACTTCTGAAAAATCCCAACTGTTGAAAACCCCGTGGAACATAGTTCTACTCTGACACACATAGGCCACTATGAGTCATGGTCAACTCCATGGCAACTGGTAAGGTAAAAATCGGGGTCTTTCTCCATTGAAAGTTCCGTATCATTATTGCTTCATCTATTTCCACAGCTCCTTCTACTTTAATGGAAACATTAGATTATCTTTAAATCATGGTGCTCTAAGGCTCCTTGGGAAATGGCAGCCACATTTGATGCATCAGGCTGCTCTCTGCTGCTCTGCACATCAATAAAGACCGCCAGGCTTCCACTGACTGTTGCCAATCAAGGCTTAGTTCTGAAAAACAACAGGCCTGTTGCTCTAGATTTGAACCACTAATTCTACTTATGAGAATGAATACTTATAATAATGGATATGAATGAAGATTTAACTACATGACTAGTCACCACTGGAGTTTTACTTACAACAAATACACATACCAACTGTTTAACAACAGAAGATTGTTTAAATTATGGTATACCAGAGAATAAAAATACTCATAATCCATTAACCAATTACCATGTAAAAGTTTTTACAACCACAAAAGATGACCACAATTAGTGCACCTCAGCGTTCCAAGAGACGTTATGGGAGGCTAGACCCCAAGCAAAGGCTCTGTGATAGGAGACAGGACCCCCAGCAAAGGCTCTGTGCCCACGCAAAGAGTTGCGGGCCACACACTGCTTCATGGGACCAAGTGGTTACCAATGGCAACCACGATGAACTGAAGACCACAGGCCCTTCCTTGTCATCTGGTGGCCCATAAGCCCCCTGGGTACTCAAGGGGGTCTGCCGAGGGGGGGAGCACCAAAAATGATGAAATTCACCCCAATACATTAGAAGCATGGGCTTCAAGAGTGCAAAGCCAGATATTTGCTATTTAAAGATATTTCTTAAAATTTGAGTTTTTTTAAGTTAAAGACATATCATGACCATAGTAGTTCTTTTGTGATTCTATTTACCTAAAAAGGTATATGTGCTCAAAAGAAATAAAAAAGCTATTTGAATAAATCAATGTAAAATATTAAAAGTTAAACATAATTACACAAGACAGTAAAACATCTTTATTGGGTTCACTTGGTGCTTCCTGATCTATCTGAGCTTCCAAAAGGGCAGAAATAACACTCCTTCCTCAGTGCATACACTCTTTCAAACCACAATGCCCATTTTCTCTTTATAATATGATGAGTGAATTCAAAGAGCGTAAGTATAAAAACGCAAATAAATGTTATGTAATTATGTCTTTAATACTCTCAAAAACTCTTATTTTCTCTCAGAAGATTTATCTATAAGAGAAAACATCATACACTCTGCATATAGTGAAACTGAAATAATTATTCAGGCTCCTTTACTAGGACTGTTAATGGGAATAGACTAAAAGACAAGTGTCTCAACTCAGGCCAATTGAAGGCTGAAAAGTGGAACTGAATCCCATGAAATCACCAAGGAAAGAACAGAGCAAATCTAGCTGTTATTTATCAAATAAGAGATTTATCAGAGGCAGGTTTTGTGGAACCAGACATTTCCATAATTTGGGGGGCCTGCTTTCAGAATTTTTATAAACATGACTATGAAAGTAAGTATGTATCGAGAATGAGGGAAGAGATCCCTGCAAAATCCTAGGGACTGAGACATTCAGATGCCCCTCCTCTGAGATCTCTTTAGGCATTTAAACCAAATGCTTACACTCAAATGCTTACGGATTGCAACCTGGCCTCCCCTTCTCATGGAAAATTCTAAAGCTTCCAGCAACCCCAGCTCTCACAAGGCCTGTGCAAGTAAGGAGCCCTGAAGCTTAA